CCCCAAAACCCCAAAACCCCAAAACCCCACTTAAGAGCCAAAGATTGAGTGAAATCTTTATCTCATCTAGTGAGGGATTTGTACATTCAGATATCCTGAATCACAGTTTACATCCAGATCGGGGAATTCTTCTTGTAGCGTCTTTCAAAGAGCCAGATGGAATTTCATCTTAGAGAAACATTCCAGCCTTAGTTTTTCAATAGAATTGCTGAATGAGGAGTTTAATATTGCTGTAAAAATAGTATGTACTATGATAAATTTTTCATCTTCGTCTGGATTAGCTCCGAAATCACTATTATTAATAGTAAATTCCTTAAGTTTATAGTAGATTTATGCTCATAGTTCATGAAAGCATTGCTGAACTTTTGCCTTTCAAATCTTCAGAAGGTTAAATTTAGAGATTGTAGATGTCTTCAGCTAAGTATTATTCTTTGTAAATCAGTTTTCTGTATTAGAGATCTGTAGATTTTGACTTCTTTAGTGACAAAACTAAAACTCTTTGTGAGAATTTTAAAGTCCAAATTTTGAGGGAGACTGTTATTATAAGTATTGACATATAATTCCCACTTTTCAAGCCTCCTTGGAAAACAAACATCATGAAACTTGTATAAATGTTTCTGGTTGTAGCTACTAAAATATCCAGTTGTCATCTTTTTAAACTTTTTCTGGTCTTACCCTCATCTTCGTACAACTCTTCAGGTCTAAATATCTTTTCCTTTCCATACATAATTTTCTTATTCAGATATTTCCTCCTTCGTCACTAAGCTCAACTCCACAGAGATATCTGGTAAAAATTAGTTTTATGAACGAGTTTGTAGTTGTCAAATCTTGCTTATTAGGGATAGAAATGATGATTTTTGTGGAGTATATTAATAATATGGTAATTATTCATTAATTAAAAGAAGAATTTTCTGAAAGATTTGTGGTGTAGAAACATTAGGAAGATATTTGACAGATTAAGTTAATAATAATTTCCCCGAATCAAATTACCATATTTTCCCTCCATATACTACACATCAACTAGACCAATTCAATCTTTAAATCCAGTTTCTGTTCATATTGAGTTCTCCTTAACAGAACTTCCTTCATAAGACTGGGAAGTATTGCGTTCCATTGTATTTAAATATTTTTATATAAGCTGGGGTTTTGGGGTTTTGGGGTTTTGGGG